TGGGAGCCCGATGCAGATCCTTCGGCGAGCGGCCGCAAACGGGCCTAGCTAGCGCTGCCGGCGTCGCCAATATGCGACGACCTCCTCCGCCCATTTCCCACTAAACAGCAGAAACCGGGCTCGTCTCGAAAGAGGTCCTCTCCGATCGGGAGCCCTTCGCAGCGCGTGCGGATGATATTCTTCCTCGCTTTCGATCAGGCGCGAGGAGGAAGCAGAGGCAAACGAAAATCTGTCATGCTCCTCTCTCAAATCTGAAAGGCCCGCACAGACATACGCGCCATCTCTCTGCCCACCTTTTGCTGATGTTAGTCACCATACTGCTTTACCTTTCCTATTTTCCTTCACTCTCGCCTATCCGCTTCCCTTCCGTTTTGTCACTCAAGAAGGGGTGGTAAAGGGAGGGGGATCTGGCCTGTGGTTTTTACTTAGCTTTTTTTCTCTGTTCGTTCTTGCCCTTTTTCTCGTCGCTTGTCGTCGGGAAACGGTATTTAAGAAAGGCATTCAGCTCTTGGTCTTCCAATAACTCCCGACGACTCAGCCCGAGTAGCGCCTCTATAGCACGGACAGACGTGCAAACCCTTCGGCGCCGTCGGCGAGCTTGTGTACCCTCAGACTGCTCGCTTAGCTTCGACTTCTGAGCGCAGCGCCGGCGTTTGCACGTCGTCGGGCGTGCCTGCCCCCCACCAGTGACTGTCGCTTGTGATGATTACCTCGGCCTGTCGTCGAGACTTGAGGATTTACTCTAGCACAAACGCCTGAGAGGAACAGCGACGAGCTTCTCCAGTGCGCGACTCGCACCGAGCCGTCTTCGCACACAGTATATATTATATATATATTTATATATAATAGTACTGTTCCTTCATTAGCCCCACGTTTGGCTAATATCTTCGACTGCTGACACCGGTCTATCGGTAAGCGAATGCTGTTTATTGTTTCGTAGGCACAATTCAGCGAACAAGCTTTGAGCTAATCTGGCATGTTCGCTGCGTTCGTGTGTGCGCTTTCGTTAAGTAGTGAATTCATTCCCTCACTCGTGGTATTGACGCAAAACAAAGTTGGGACATCTGCGAAAGCAGCCAGCCTGATGAATTCATTGCTACTATGTTCTTTATTTTCCTTAACCTGCCGAAGCAACCTAAGAGCGCAAACCTCTATATTAATTAATTTTAAAGTACGGGAGCCTCTCCTGTGTGGTTTGATCAACACTGTGTCGCACCTAGCTTCCTTATTTTTGAAACAAATTTTGAAAAGCAGCTTGTTGAAAATGCGAACTCAAACGTATTGCTGCTAGAACCTTGTTCCCATTGATGGCAGTGCTTGCAGGCAATAGAAGAAATATATATATATATATATATTGTGCGAAATCAACATCTCAGTACAATCGCAGAAAACGAGATTAGGACGGTGCTTTTAGTATTCGACGTTTGTGTCCGTCTTCTTTCTCTATCGCTCTATTTTATGCACGCCTGGTATAGCCAATGGCAGGCAAATACTGAAAACCATAAATGTCCAATGAAAACTGTTTCTGGGTCTAGTGCTAGATCAAACGGTACAGAAGATGCAATCGCTGTTCAGATTAAGAGCAACATCACATTTTTTTTTGTGCGCTTGGTAAATCTGTTGTCAACTGTTTCGGGTGTTTTTTGTCGTATAATTACATGCCGACACTACGAATAATGATTTCACAGAGCAATTTGCCCACCTCCATGCATTACTTAAGATAATTTGTCATTTTATTCCTCTTTCGCATTGGCATAAAAGACCGTATATATGCGAGCTCGTAAGATAATTCGAATTGTTCATTAGAAAAGCCATAGGAGGTACAACAGTCGCAGCTGCGTCAGCATGCATTCATCAGTAGCCTCAAACTGGTGAAATAATGCTGCTTGCAGCCGTGAATCCGCAAAAACAGAAAAAAAAAGTAACTCCCTTAACTTCAAGCTTATATACTCTTGCGTTGCTAGTCGGAGGTGCTGGTGTGGTTGCCGTTTTTGTCAAAGCATTTACTCGTCGGTTGCCTTTGGGCGGAGCACCAATGCACACCAAAAAGCCGTGGCCTGGTTGGGCCAGCAGAGATGAATGCCAGCTCGCAAAACTATAGCGATTCTTGCATTTTTTTTCCATCGCAAAAAAAAAGTAATTGCTATTGAGTTTGGCACACCATTTATCAGTTTTCCCGTTTTCTCGACGAGAACAAAAAAGGTGCACCTCAATACTTAAAATAAAGCTGTGCATCTGTCCATTCATTCATGGACGCAATTTTTATTTCGTCAGAGTGAGATCAAGCCTACAAAAAAGGGATGTTTACAAGGACGCCAGCTCGAATGTGATGTCTCGCTATATGTAAAGCGAGTTAAAAATTTCGCCCGGTTAGCTGACGGCTATTCGTCGTTCCCCCTATGACGTCATGATCGGTACCCTATCGCGAACGGACATCTTCCTTCAAGACGGATGTGCAGGGACTAGTATATAATCGAGTCGGAAACTGTGCTATAGGAAAGCTGCCACAGACAGGTAGGTTGAGTGTACGTGGTGAGGTAAAAAAAAAAAATAGCGAAATTAACGCTGATTCGAAACTATTTCGACAAGCTGCTGAGCAGTATACACCTGCGCGGTATTCACACGCCATTATCGCAATCTCTTATCCGATCGGCCGCTGCAGCGCGCCCTTGACCGTGGAGGACGCGTCTACGGAACCTCTTACGAAATCACGCTCCCTCGCACAACGACTCGGCGATATTGGCGAAATGAGAAATCTCGCGGCCGTCGACAATGCGACTTTCGATTTCGTGTGGATTATGTGCGTTGCAAAAGCTCGCTCGGGCCAGCCGCCGCGTGTCTCGGCTTGCATTCGTTAACGTAGAGCTCGATTGTCGTAAGCGTTACACACTCTGCTCCTTTGCTTTCGACACAACGCGACGCTCAATGAAATTTAGATTTCTCGCGACAGGTGCTCATCTTGCGTAAAGTGAGAGGTAAAATAATGACGACATACGAAAAGGTGAGCGGTGACTAGCCGAATTCAGAAACTGAAGTGTGTGTCGCACTTTCACCGGAATCATTTTAAGCAAGCAATGGTACTCTTACCCAATGAATGTTGTAGAGATGAACCTTGGTAAAATACGTTGGTTGGTTAATTAGTTTGCATCCGTGAATCGAGTAAACGCGAACAGACACGGAGAACTGGCACGGGCGGAGCGCTACTTTCCAATGATCTTTTATTTTCCCACGCACCGGTATATACCGAGCAGCGGAAATAACAAAAGAAAAAAAAACGTTTTGTGGATTCACATTGTTCAACAGAGCACGTGTACAATAAATTATCATAACATAGAAGAACGTTTCATGTCGCTGCGTCAAATCAAGGTAATGAAGCTATCTTTGAGAAAGCGATACTGAAGTTTAGCTAACGCACAAGTCTGATAATCTCGCAATTTCACACACCTTCGTAATCACCCTTGTCATCTTGTTAGGTGCTCGGCTCGGCATATAGTTATCGGTTCCTGCGAAAATCAGATATCAGTTGAAAGTAGCGCTCTGTCCGTGTCAGTTCAGATGTACGCGCTTATCTGCTCGCACTTACTCACCATTCTTAGAAACAAACCATCTTCCAGAGCACTCCATAATATTTGTCTACCTCACAGTCATCAAAAATGTCACAATTGGCGACTCTTCGGCATCGAGTTCTCTCGCCAGCACAAACTTCAGTGATTAATTATTGGCCGTATTTTCTTAGTATGAACTGCTTCATATTGAGATTGTTTCAGATGGCCGATGAACCATTTGTAAAGGTTCTTCACGAGGCAGCAGAACCTCGACTGTGCACGCGCAATACAGAACTTCGCTACACTGTCGCGATAAGTCTCGTTATTCCAGTACTTAGCACAAGGGACATCTGTGAATAAGCTGAGCAACCACAACCAGAGTGGTCAGAACATACGTCCATGCCTAGCTAGCTAAAACGCTAGCCATCGTGAAGTACGCATCCAAGTGGCCCAGGGAGCGAAGATGGAGGGATCTAAGTTTCACAGTGCCTGCGCATTGGGCAATCACAGCCTTTCGAACTTTCCCTGCGGGCTTTGTGATTCGTCCGGACAACGACAGAAAGACCTATTGCGCTTGCGTTGTTTTCTGGCGCGGAAGCTATTCAGTCCACAATGACCGGCAGTTCGCTGCCCCACCAAGGCCACCCGCATGGTTAATTACACTCGCAGGGCAGGTGCCAACCGTCCACAACGAATACAGACAGTGCGACGTCCGGGACGTCAACAAATATAGGGGTGTGCAGAAAAGAAGTCCCTACTGACTTTTTGCACAAGAGGCGTCACAGATCGACTAGCAATACATGAATTACCGACGTATACGGCGAAGGCCAGAAATGATTAGCACTCTTGACTCGGCAATGGGCATCTTGTGAAGTCAATCGGCGGCCTTCCATTCGACAATGGTCGATGAACATCGTTTGAAAGTGGCACGACCGACTGCCGTGTGTGTGCCCAATGTTGTGGTTCACGTTTTTGTCCTTATGGGGGCGTTACAGCTTCGCCTAGTTGCACACTGACACATTTAAAGGCAGGACAGCAATGGCTTTCTGTAAATGTTATGACACGAAAACGGCAGACACCTTAAGCATCGGGGTTCCCACATTCGAAAAGTGTAGTCGCTAGATTAGCCACCGGCGCAAGTCTTGCTATGCTACCCGAGAGTAACGGTGATATTAATCACTACATCCTTGAAACACCGAAGGTTTTGTAGGAGAAATTATGTGAGGCACATACGTAATTGCACAGCTTTAGTCATAGGAAATGTTTCACAAAAGCTTGGAAAGAATCGCCTCCATGAATGTTTCCAATTACGCCCATTGGAATGTTTCTGGGATTTTAGTGAACTTATATGTAATGTTTACGCATGTTTAGATTTACATGTGATACGCTGTTTTGCGCGCGGCGACCGTTGCAATACCACATGATTAATGTGTGCTGACTACTTCTTTGACGCAGAACTCATTTCGTGCAAAAGGCCATGGCTCCCCGGACCGAGACTGCAACCATTGTGGCGACCGAAGCTCGTTCCAAGGTTGACCTTGAACCAGCCACCACCAATGATGAACAGATAACGGAGCAATTGCCATCCAAGCAGCCGCCCATGGAGATCATCTGGATGAACGTCTTCAAGATCCTAGTCATCCATGTGATGGCCCTGTACGGCCTCTACGTAGCTCTATTTCATGCCAAATGGATGACACTTCACTTTAGTAAGTTAATTTTATATTTTTATTACACTGACGCAAAACTAGCCTTTAGGTAATGCGCAGTCATGTCTCTTTCAAGAACCTCCGACTGTGCAATGCTGTAACCAGCTTTTCACTGGTGGTGCAGTCACACGGATGCATTTCACAATTTTCGTAGTGCAAGTGCGTTGGTGTTGTAAACACCTCAAGTAATGCATCTTCTTTTTTCCCCCTCTCCGTTTTATAATTTGTGAGGGCGGCACTGCCCGATGTATATGTAGGCACTCTTGTAAGTTTGGGGCGTTCTCTTGGTTAGCTCAGCACTTCAGAGATGGCAGCGTTTCATACATTGCAACTAATGTCCACTACAACAATCCGGTTCTTACGTGTTTTGATGCCTTCGATGCGTGCGTATAACTTGTTCTTTGCAGGGACAAACTTGCGACATTACACCTCGTTGTTCTTGATGCGGCAAGCGCATGCCATGAGGTCGCTTGCAAAATCCTGCTTGCCTCAGCCGGCCTTTGCATCACCGTCAGTCCTGTATGCGTGACCTATACGTAGATGGCACGATTTTCGTTCTTTAGTTACACCACAAGCGACCATTCTGTAAAATTTGCCGTGCTCTACAAGGCGGAAGGGCAGCAGGCAAGGAATTTAATGGTAGCAGAACGCTAAAGTGATGCGCTCGCGGTGTTGCAATTATTGACGAGCCAGCTTGCACGGTTTCACATGATGGAAACATGGCTCCCTACAGGCGGAATCTAAACATTTTTTAGTCTCCATGATGAGCTCCATGAAGGCACTCTGTAAGCAAGCCCGTCTTTCGAAATTCCTGAAGTTTCTACGTATGAAAACAACGCTTTGGTTCGTGCCCCATTTAGTTATTTTGTTGCTCGTACAGTATGGGGAGATCAAACCTGCAATGTTTGCAGCTGCTGTCGGTCACGTGTGCATGTGTAAGGTCGCTGAAACCTCCTCCTTGCTTCAGACAAGCACTTTCGCGTATGCAAACGTCCTTCAAAACACTCGAGGCCACCGTATACGCTTCGCGTATGTGCACGATGAAGCACCGTAAAAACCACGGCCATGAAAAACTGTTTGCGGAGCTCCCTGACGCATCGTTTCTCCCGTAATATTGCAAGAAGAGCAATTTAATTAGCGGCACCTTAAAACGGAAAAAAAATGATTTAATGCGAATTCGCGAAATTCCAGTGATCACGGTTACGTTAGGAACGGATTGTCATCGTGGTAGAATAGCGCAGACAATAAGACCAATAACATGCAAGATACATTGCTGCTCTGCATGTTCTTCGTCCCGCTGTACGACCGTTGCGTTCTGTGTGTTCTTCAAGGGTGAATTAGTTTGTTGAACATATCGTAAGGGGAACGTGGCAAGAAAGATAAGGACCGTATAGAGGCACGCCTGCGGTTGTATGTGTGCCATTGCTGTCCTTTTCTTCCGCGCTGTTTCCCCTACGACCTGTATGGTATACGTCGCGTTGTACCACGCTGTTCTGCCACAACGCTTATAAACCAAGTAGCTCGCCTAAGAACCCTTGTACGTTGTCATCATGGCGTTTCCCGATTTACACTTGTAACTCGCATATACTACATCGTTAACTTTCACTAACACAGTAAAAGAGCTGCTGTTTAAGTTCGGCAGTGCATTTGCAAGTGCTTGTCACTGGGCTAGTTGGTTCATAGCATTGCGGCGAAGCAGGGCAGACTGCGGGTCGAATAATATGGAGCACACACCGCTGACTATCAATTCGTTTCTTTATTTAGGAGGGCGATACATAGGATGGTGATCCAATACAAAAAAATGGTACAAATGCTATAGACTGACTCTGCCGACTGGCATTTTTACGAATTTTCATAATAAATCACTTCATAGCACTGTGTCCTGCATATTGTCCGTCCGTCGCCTGCACTGTTTCTTCACAATGTAGTGCATTTTATTGTTAGGAAAACGCAAATGTTTTAAGACAATTTCTCTGCGTAGTTAAAAATTGACAGTATGGGGGCTTCCGTTCCCTATTTACAGAATTGCCTAATCTACTCTCGTTCATCTTCATTACGATGGGAGGTGACCGCGGTTGCAGAAACAGAAGTGGTATTACGCTGTGCCACTTTCATACGGCTGGGTAATTCTTCGCGCCACTCTTGTGATCATCATTAGGTTATCGCGGGCCCGAAACATCTTTCTTTTAAATAAACGTCAATTCAGATGTATCGCTTAAAGAATACGCCGATGACGAGAATGAGCGCTTACTTAAGCATGCAGGGCACGGGCTAGCCGAAAAACTTCTTTCTATAGTACCTCTACTTTTCAAGTGCATCTTTCGCTGCTCTGCGGCGCGAGGATGTCCTAGCGTAAACGCGGCTGGGTCTCTAACCACTGTCATCCAGCTGATAGACCGATGTTCAGTATGAAGACGCAGGTTCACTTTTTAACCTCTTTGTTATAACGACAGTATACTTGTGACCGAATACTCATGAGCACCGAGGCACTACTACAAGCCATATACACCCTGGGTAATCAAATAATTCCGTACGCCTTTAATCACGGTGACTACTCATATTTGTTGGTGCAAGACCTATGATGTAAGTATACCATCAACATCACAAAAGTAAATCGAATACGCCTATCAGCTGTGTCTACAGTATGGCCTTCTAGATCAACATGTGTATTCTGTCAAAAACGCTTTCAACTGCTATACTATTCAATAACTACTATACCTAAGGCGAACCTTTTATCATCTGCTTGTTCGATGTCGCTCCTCACCTCCGCATCTTTTTCTTCACAGACTAGTAAAATCTAACCAACGAACTTATTCGGTTTCCGCGCTATTTCTGTCGAAGCTGGTGACAAGCACACAGGGAAATTACGCAGCGCCGTCGTCCTCAATCCCACAACGCCGTTACTTTCCTCTGAGACCGCAAGTCCCCGGTCAGGTGACCCGCACACTTGAACATTTCCCTCGGTTTATTCTTTCCCTCCCACGACGGCTCCGGGCCGTAAACGCGCGTTGACGCTACAGCGCAAAGTGCAAGTGTTCGCTCGGAAAGGAGAAAACGTCGACACTTCGTTTCCGCCTCGTTCGTCAAATGCGATTCATTCCTGGGCATCGCGACAGCGTCAGAAACGGCGTCTGCCGCTTTCGGCGGCTCCGTTTTGTGATTCTCTTCCCACGGATGGTGGGAACGGGTCGTGTCGCGTCCCTCTGACATATCTAGTATAGCTCGCGTTAATCCCCGCATGCATCGGCTTCCTGCCTTCAAGCCAAGAGCGCGTCTGAAGTGTGGTGTTTGGCTCCACCAAAGATGACCACAGTGACTTGCGGAATGTGATAACTTATGCCTTCTGGTACGGGTAGACGGGTTTCGTGTCGCGCCCGTCGGCAGTTCTTTTCCTCAAATATGTATCGCTATAAAAGCTGAACTCCGTCTAAAAGCATTAAGACTAAATTATTTCCGGCAAGCAAAAGTCCAGACTCCAGCAATATGCTGTCGCAGGTGGCGCAATTCGCCAACGTGACCGCGCCTAATTAGAACAGAGACAAACGTCGCATGGCACACCACACCTACTTCTAACATCAACAAGTGCCACTACATTACAAATGGGTAGTGTAGCTCTGCGGGTAACAATTTTGGCATTCCTGTGGTGCACAAGATCACTGTCGTTAACTCTGACAGCACTGTGATATTACGTGTGCCCGACATTTTCTCTTTTGCTTCATATTAGTCCCTGCACTCAAGACGACAGAGGGAAAATATCTACGTTTAGGGTCATTCGGTTTACGCACGGCATTGGTGTACTTATCCATTTTCACTGATGTACATATGTAAAAAGTGAGCACACTGAACAATCAAACAAAATTGCTCGAGACCATAGGCGTATCTCGGGCGGTGTTATTGCATATCCAAAAGAACAGAACCTTTCATTCTCCTCCAGTTCTGCTCAACTTCTTCCACAGCCTGTATTAATGCTTACAACATCCTGAAGAGTCACACTAGCTATTTCAAAAGCAGTGACACTTATTGATATTGACAAGTTTTTTCTTTTTTCTTTATTTGCCGTGTTCTTTATTATTCGGAGGTCTGCGGTTTCATCAACAGGTTGCACTAGTATGATTATTTTGTTTTTTTCCAAAACCTCTTTAGATTTTTTTTCTTGTGTAGTTTAACGCTGTGTGTTCAGCGTGTGTTGTGGGCGTCATCATGGAAGATGGAGGGGAGGGGGGTTCAACTTGTTTTACCGAAAATAAATTTTGCTGCTTGCATATTAATATATATATATATATATATATATATATATATATATATATATAGATATATATATATATATATACGCACACACCAGCATACCTGAAGTATGAATGCACCACCCCTCCTCGAAAAAAATTTCTGGCTACACTGCTGGCATGCGCTATATTCTTCCCACCACTGAACTAATTACTTGTTCAGCAATTTCATTAGTGCAGTGTTTTTTTTTTCGCGTAACAGAAAGGGGGGGAGGAATATAATGCTATTCTTATTGCTAGTATGAACACATTGTGTGAGACCGCTACCGTGGCAGAATGAAAAAGATATTGCTGTTTACCTCGTCCTTGAATTGTAGTGAGTCTCTGCCGTCTTCATGACGATATCGTGTAACTGCCCCGCTGGCCCGAAAGTGAGCCTTTTGCCAAAATCGCTTTATCTTTTTTTTTCTCTGATCCATTATAGGCGGAAAATTCAATGATAAGGAGTGAAGAGATTTTTCGTTTTTTTTTTTATGATCCCGCGCATTCACTTGTTGCTGGCTTGATCCTCGTCCTTAGAAGTTGCTTTAAATGCGCGCTATTTGTAAGCGCTGGACACGCGTTTATCCTCTCAGCGTGTGTCATCATCGACCAACCTCCCGTGGGGCGTTCGTGGGCGTGATAACACTTCAGATTATCGTCGATACTTTTATAGGTCTCTTGCACATCGTGCGTTGCCAGCTTCCTTTTGAGGTTAATGAAGAAGAAAGAAGAGAAGACACATGATGGGCGTTCCGTGACGTCCACTCTACATACGAGCGAGTAATTACCACTTTAACGTGAATGAAGCGGATTCCCTCCAATAAGTTACATTAAGGTCAAGTTCTAGCACTAGTTGAAGCATCCGCTGATAAATACCTAAAAATAAACGGGGGAGGGGGACATTCAGCTATTTGAACGCTCTTTTCAAAGTGGGTTAGTATTAAGTGCATTATTCTTAGAATGTTTTAAGCCAGTGTAGTTACCTGTCCACTTTGCCGCTGAAGTACGTGCAATATGTGGCTTCCGTATGCACCGAAAAGGAAAAAAAAAAGGCAACGCAACAAACATGTCTAACGGTGAAAGCGAACAAGCAGTGTAGGCCTCACGTACAACCGCACGTGGGACGTCTTCAGTAAAAGCACTTAGTATGCATGAATGCTCGCCCATGGCCGGTCTGTGTGCGTCAGCCGAAGCACCGCGAAAAGCGCGGAACACCACAACAAGGAAGGATGCGCAGCTGGTGAGCATTCTCCGGAGGGTTTTTTTTTTTTTTTCGTGTGCGTCAGAACTCTTTTGTTTCGAACGTACCGCTTCTTTGTAGCGGCGAACGGCGGAATTCATCGCGTTCACCGCACAGAATAGTAGATGCGTGCCACCGATAAGTACAATCAAGTGCTCAATGGGTCCCTTCCCATTCAACTGCGCAGCTTGCTTTTCTATTTTTTAACCTTTATCTGACCCTCATGCTTGCACTGAAAAAAAAGTATATATCTATATATATATTTACTTGAAGCTTCTGCAGGTGGTGGCTCCCTTCGTTTTCGATTTTCGCTTCTGAAGTTGAAGTGTCTCGCAAGTGCTTTCAGCTTTGCGTCGTGCAGGTAGTCACCCAACCAAAACCGGTAAAGCTCCCCTAGTGTCTACGGCTTATTTCTCTCCGCGCGAAGACAGGAATGTTGACTTCACGGAAGACTCAGTCAGTTCCGCCCGACGTGTATGAGCTATCCTCCCTTCAGTGAAGTACCCTGAACAAGTAAAGCTTAGGCCTAGGCCATGTCCCAAGCTGCACAGAGTGGCACTGGCAGGATACATGTCGCAGCTCTCCGCATCCTTGAAGTTTTTTCGGCGACTCACACAAGTAAACGTTTCGACGTGGATAACACGTTTCGACACTTCCTAATTGCACAGCTCATGTGCTCTTGCACACGTTGAAGCTGCCACTCGGGGCAGGGAGTATATTCTATAAATTGAAAAACCTGGCTTCGAGTTGTTTTTCAGTCTTTCTCAGTCGTCGTTGAACTGTGAGTGAAATGACAGCGCATGCGAGCTGCCATTATTCACCAATGAGCTATTCGACCGAGCCATTCACTACGCTAGATGGTACTGTCATTGTGCCTTGTAGGATATTTTCTATGACAAAAAGGCAGCCAAGCAGGAATGTCACCCTTTTGTTGCTGTTGCTCCAAGTCAGCCTCCCCTCTTTTGAAACCGCCCTTTTTTTTTGCTTTTAGTTTCTCTCGAAGTTCCGCGTGGTATAGTCTGACCCTCTTCTTGTACTTGCATTCCGAGGTTTCAAACCGTAGTCGCGTCAGCGCCTGGAGAAAATTGCCCTAGTCGGGAAAATACTGACGGCAGGTGTTTCCGAATTTCTTTTACGTGAATGGGAGTCTTCAGTGAGTCAGTTTTGACATTCAATAGGTTTGAATGCTTTAAGCCGAGCAAAGTTGAGTTCTCGCCGTTTTTGTAGTAGCGCCTGTAACTGCTTCTTCATTTTACTGAACACATTCAAAACGTGGGAATCAAAAGGAAAATTTGCCCCGATGTCTTCATTGAAACTATCTAGCTCGAGCAGCTGACATCAACTGTGGCCATCGGCGAATGGAGGAGAAAAAGACTGTGTGATTACTTACGTATTCACTCGCGGCATAATTTCTCGTAGTTCGTTCGCGAAACGACCTCAACCGTTTTCCACCAAACTCCGTGTACCAGCACTGTCATGTCACGGAGAGCAGCGTCATAGGTGGAAGCAGATTGCTTCACCATCCTAGCGTTATCCTTCCAGTTAACTCTACTAATGCCCATCAGTCTCACTATAGTTTAGTTTTAGTCGTTCAACTATACGCGTAAAAAAAAGAGTATCGATTCAGCGAGCTTTTTCTAGTACGAGCAGCAAGCAGGTGTGGTCTGAATGATTTTGCCTTTTCCGTCCAACGACGTGAACCACGGAACGAAATCCAGTGCCACAGGACGGTGCAAGTTCAAGACATTGCTGTTGTTTTTTGAGCGAGATTCTTTCTCGGCAAACCGTTCTTGGAAAAAAATATTTAATCGAAGGATGGCTTCATGAACCGCCACGTTCATCCTGTGCTTCGCGCGTTTGGAAAAGTGGCCTTGACCGATGCGCCCGCGCTATGGCTTGTGGCAGAAAACAGGCGGGGTAGGAAAAAGCCTTTCCTTCGTCTTCTTCGCAGATACATATACGATTCGTAGGGGGTGGGCACCCAGCCAGTGGCTCGTTGCGCGCAACAATTTCTTTACCCTTTTCGCTACTAGACACCGGCCAGGGGCCTTCCGCCGACGCCAGATGACAGAAGCTTCTGTCACACGTAAGCACTCATGTGACGTCACGGCTTCCGCCGTAACAAGCTGCAGTCAGTCTAAACATGTCGACTATTAGCTCAACCGCTAACCCTAATCACTGGCTTCGAGTTACCACCTGAGACCACCTTGTGCAAGGGTCTATGCTGCCCTGATAGTCATTCGTATACTTGGCGGAAATCCAAGCCAATGCAAGCTATTTCTGAATGATTCGTACTCTGAACACATGATTGTACGTTATTAAATATTTGTACAATTAAACAAAGCCTGAAAGGTGTAAAACATGATCGGGTTCTTTTTATACGCATAGACGTACTTTCGAAAACTGCGAAAGTGATTGCTCAAAGTGGGTGTTCTATCTCCGATTGCCGGTATATTTTAGCATTATCCCCCATACACATAAACGTTTGAAGTTCAACCTAATTTTAACCATGTTGTCATTCCTTCTTTTCTTTCTTTGCAGCCATCTTCTACATCGTTTGCTCTGGTCTCAGTGTGACAGCTGGTGCCCATCGCTTATGGAGCCATCGTTCCTACAAAGCCAAGCTACCACTCCGGGTCATTCTCATGCTTTTCAACTGTATGGCTGGGCAGGTAAGGAAGACGGAACAATTTTTAATGTTGTGTGATAAGTCTTACGCAAGAGGACACCGCGTCAGATATCGGTGCTTCACAGCGAAGCCATCGCGGTAATCTGGGCTCTATATGGATTGTTGGGTGACGGAATAATGTTGCGAGCTTGAGACGGCAAAATACTGAACTCTCAGTATAGCGAATTCGAGTGCACAATATGAGCACCCAAAGTACACGCAATACACACTCAACTCTGGTGCACGCACCGGGCACTAATTGTTCGTTGTCGGTGATCTAATCGTCGGTGGAAAGCGTCGAATTTCATTCATGAATTACAGAAACTTTCAGCGCTATCACCGGGGCTCGCGATAGCTCTGGAGTACTCCAGAACACTTTTAATGCGCAAAAGCATACCAGAGTAGCCTAAAACAATAGGAAAGCTTTTTAAGCACCTGTCCGGTCTGCCACGGATTGTGTTAAGTTTTTGTGAGGGAAGCCTGATCACATGAAAATTAAGCGCGTGTGGGGCAGTATGATCTTCAGAAAGGCCATCGTGTTTCGCCTGATTTGTTGCGACATTATCGGAAGAGAAAGGCCACTTTACGCAGCAAAACGTGCTGCTCTTTCTTGTATTTTTTTTCTGCATTGCCAAGATCTGGCTGCCAGCAGGCACGTTTCATGCGGCATGGTTGCGGAACTTGCTCGATGCTTACTGACGAGAGAGAGAATAAACTTTATTGGGAGCTTACTGACGAGGGCGTCGGCGTGAACAGACGTTGGAGAATCAGCACGTTTCGTTTGGTTATGTTGTTTGTATCCAGTTCTTTTTCTAATACGCACAAAAAAGAGGAAATGACACCGATCTCAAGGGGGGCTTTACAGTGGGTGTGAGCTGAGTATATCCTGTAGAGAGGACGGAAAATGCTGAGAATTGGCAGGATTTTCAAACGGATGGATTTCCGCCAATGGAAGCGAACGTTGACATAGCAGTAACGCTTTCAAGAAAAACGAAACCAAGAGTGTCGAATTATAAGCGGTCAGCTTTTTCTTTTTCACTTCAGGAGAAGCCAGACATTATATTTACTCTTATCGAAAACCGTAACGCAGTCGCCCGTCTTGCGACAACTTTAGAAGCAGGGAGCGCTAAAACTATTAATAATAAAAAAAAAACTGGCATACCGAGTCTGTAACAAAGTGGATCGTGTTAAGAATTTCCACTGGTTAATATTTGCACTTAGTCTTTTTTTTTTTTGAAGCTGTATACGAACTATGCGTGGAGGTCCATAAGTTCAAGAGGTTGACACGAATTCTTGTTGTCAGGAGAAACCAGTCGAAGTGAAGACCTCCACTAAGCAGCGGTTGCGGTTGCACATTAGGTGGCCTAGAAAGTTAAAAACAATATGCAAGACACGGCGAGACTCTACGCATTTTGGTATTTGCTCAACGACATGCCGCTTAGTATGAACAGATACTACGGCGTACTATGTGTACACTTAAATCCAACTCCCTTAGGTAGTTTCAAGAGCCCGCCAGTAAACAAAATAAATTAAAACTACAACTCCAGCCATTGTCTTGCTCTATGTTGTGCATATATATGCATTCGAAGCGAAGTTTACGTGCTCCGCTGAACGCGGCATCACACGACCAGCAAGGTCTCACTCCGAAGCAGGCAGAAACAATGCAGAACGCAAGGTTTTCGTAGCCGAAACAGGAAGAGGGCGGAAGACGGCGTTTGTTTCGTGCATCAACGATGCGAGGCAAATTGCTGGGCGAAGCGCCGTCCGCGAGTGTCATTTGCGGGCTTTATCCTTCAGAAGCAAGTGAAGGGCGCTCATTGAGGACAGCGTCATGCGGGCACTGCGAATATTGCCGATGCGTATGTCTGAATATAGTGTTCTGGCTGGTAGCTTTACCTGGAATGAGTAGATGACGGCCCATTGTGGTGCATTCATTCCGGAGGCTGAATTGGTGTACACTTCAGCTGAGGACAGCGTATGCCTTACCTTGCGTGTTATACAGCCTACGGCCCGCTTGCTTTTGGTTCCGCTAAGCAGGCAATTGAACGTTCAGTGGCAGTACAAATCCCACATTCAGTGTGCACCACATGTTCACCAAGTTTGGCGACATAAAACAGAACGTGAATATGGTATGTCTTATCTAGAGTACTCCATGTTCCAAAAGGAAACGTATAATTTGACTGCGAACAGAGCTTGCTAAAGCAAACTTCACATCGAGTTAAGAACCACGTTTCTTGTGATCAAAATGATGAGGATGTAGTGCTACTCGTAAAACCACGAGTGTAAACGCTGTAACATACCTAGAGCTATAATAACCTAGTGTATTACGCGTACCATACCACATGTTCCCACAACTTTTGTCATACTTCTCGTGTATCAAATGGGAGTCGTTTCGGGTGCAGTCGTTACTGAACGTGTTGCATTTGTGCATGATATTCGCAATTCGAACAAAAGCGATTACAAAGAAACTGAACCACCGCTACGCATAACGGGATAAGTATAACAGGAGAGTAATGATGTGATGGTAATGAAAGCCAGGACAGTCAGTGTTTCACTAATTAACTTCAAGCACACTAATACGCATTTGCATACATGTCGTTCGTTGCGCGTATATGGCACCACATTCACGCACGATCACGTTCAAAATTACTTGCACGTTTTACGGGAGTGCATGAGCTAGTTGGCTTCCTGTTAACAATTTTACGACGGCGTTATTTTTAAGCGCATACGAAGTCTTGCATCGGTAATATGGCGCACCGTCTGTCTCACGCTAAACAAGTTTTGCGTTATTGTCGCACATATCCACACGTGACACCTACAAGGGCCAGCATCATTGACAAAATAACAGGTGTAGTACTCTGTCTTGTCACAGTGCCAATAACGCCCTTGCTCGTGGACGTTTCTGGTGCTAGCATAGGCATAGTCAGAGGAAGGAGGGCTGAACCATCTTCTTTTGCATTATTCATTTTGTATGCGTCGCTATATATATATATATATATATATATATATATAATATATATATATATATATATATATATATATATATATATATATATATATATATACGGATATAAAACAAACACACTCATGACTGTGGTAGGTAAATAGAAATAAACCTGAGCGGGTTGGTTCAGGTATGAACATAAAGGACCAAACGCAGCATTCTTTTCTGCACCTGCTAGTGATAGCTCTATATGTGTGTACGCTTCGTAGGGCAGTGAATAGTGGGTAAGCTCTTCACTAAATTTTTTTTGTTTGCTCGCAGGTACCACATTCCAATGACCATTCTGTTCTGCTTCATCGTGCCGACCGTGCTGCCGCATAGGCTCTGGGGCGAAAGCCGCTGGAATGCATTCTTCGTGGCCGCTATTCTGCGCTGGGTGTTTCAGCTCAATTCCACCTGGCTGGTAAACAGTGCCGCGCACATGTGGGGCCAGAAGCCGTACGACAAGAACATCTCGCCCGCCGAGAACTTCATCGTGTCCTTCCTGGCCATCGGCGAAGGCTTCCACAACTACCACCACACGTTCCCCTGGGACTACTCGACCAGCGAGCTCGGATGGAAGCTGAACATCTCGACGATGTTCATCGACCTCATGGCTAAAATTGGCTGGGCGTACGACCTGCGCAAGCCCACCCGCGAGATGATCGACCAGAGAGTGGCGCGAACGGGTGACGGAAGCCACCCGTCGCAACGGCACAACCACGAGCACGACTATTGATTTAGATAGACGCGCTCTGAACACACCATGCTCTTCTGTCAGCTCCTTGGTCCGCTACGCTCAAGCGCAGGGCACCCCTGCTCAGCAGCGCTCAACCACTGCGTGAAATTCGCGCGTCGGCATTCTCCGATGGCCCGGACCCGTCTGAAAGGTTACTCAAGCCCGGCGCAGTGTTGTCGATAAGCTACGTGACGTGACCACGTGACACCGGCATCCACGAGGGCGCTTGTGAAGCAACCATTGTGCTGCTCAGGTTCCTTATTCTTTGTTCACCATGATGCATGGGGTGCAGGTTACCAGACTGCGCTGAACGGCTTTGACCATCTGGAAGACATTATCAGGGTGGATAGCACACCGTCTGTGAAGGCCTATAACTCTTTTGCGCATAGCAGCAGGCCTCGTGAATGCCATCCGTTGGACCCACGTACCCAGACTAAAGACTTGTGACGCGTGAGGTTTGCGTAGCCGTGAAAATAGTTTTGTGACCAGTATGACAGCAGGGTCTTCCACCACCTCCTTAAAGAGCACTCGCATTACCTTCAAATGACGTTTAGTTTTTTTTTCTTTTTTTTGCTGGTGATACTCGCGAGAAACTTTCACCGAGGAAACAGAAAGGCTGTGCTTGTGTTCGTGGCGCGCAATAAGACTATATTCGCGTATTTATCGAAAGTCGTGCCTTAGGGAAATTGTAGTCGAAGTGCTAGGGGCGTTAATTAATCATCTCTCCGAAGTCTCCAGGAGGCTACTGCTAGCAAGTGCAATCAAGAAAATACGTGTGCGTCAACGGTTGAAGAGACTAACTACCTACTTTCTGCTCTTCACTACTTATTTATCGCAGAGAAGCGTTATAAGGAAAGCACCTCTGGTCTCATGCGAATTGTTGTATTGTAGTTTGTGCGTTGTCCGCAGGCCAAGCCCGCCATGACGCGGTCACGCGCTTTTGTATGTGAAAGAATGAATATTCGTGCGCGTGTTTTCATGTTGTTTTGTTGTTCACTATGTATTGTTCACTTCATTGATGTGACACTAAAAACTTGTTGCACCAAGGTGAAGTTATCCTATTGACGCCACTTGTGGCACACGCCTGTGTATTGCACCTTGTTACTTTTTCTTTCGGCTCCCCAGGGCATGTAGTGTTGTGAGTGTTTAACACCCCGAGTGGATTTGTAGGCACAACTATCGTGCAGTCAGTTTGTTCCAGTATGTCTTTATTATCTGCCGTGTAATTGACCGAGTTAGATTTTGAGCACTAAGCTAAGCACACTTATGTCTACCACCGATATTATTCAGACGTATCTAAACATGTATATACCTACTTCGCAATCTTGTTTTTTTAAATAAAGTGTTGCACATATAAACACCGAGTGTTTGTGTACTCTGTGAATGAAGGTGCAGTGCGTAAAGCGTTATTTGCTATTACGAAATAGGAGAAATAGTGTTTCCAGGCATATACGCAAAGCAGCGGCGACAACACGTAGTTATCCAAAAGCTTTCGTCACGTCTCTCAGTGAGGTCAGTGTCAGACCATGCAGTAGCTTCGATTTTCTTTACGAAAGCTACGAGTTTAAACTGGCATCATAATATCGTCGCTCTGGTGAAATATCTACGCAGGTGTATCCACGCCATGGTGGCATAGTGTTTATCGTGTTTGACTGCTGACCGTAGGCTTCAATCCTGGCCGTGGTGTTCGCTTTTCAATGACTGTGAAATCTGCTGGTGAGGATCAGGTAACATCAGATCTGCTGAAAGATGGAGGACAGATTGTGTTAGAAAAACTAGCCACCCTGTTTACGAGGTGTCTCCTGTCGGGAAGAGTACCAGAGTCTTGGAAGAACGCTAACATCATCTTAATACATAAGAAAGGAGATGACAAGGACTTGAAGAATTACAGGCCGATCAGCTTGCTCTCTGTAGTATACAAGCTATTGACAAAGGTAATTGCTAACAGAGTAAAGAAAACACTAGAATTCAATCAACCAAAGGAACAAGCAGGATTTCGAACAGGCTACTCAACAATTGACCACATTCATACTATCAATCAGGTAATAGAGAAATGCTCAGAGTATAAGCAACCACTATACATAGCCTTCATAGATTACGAGAAGGCGTTTGATTCAATAGAAATTTCAGCCGTCATGCAAACACTGCGGAATCAGGGCGTAGATGAAGTATATATAAACATTCTGGAAGAAATCTACAGGGGATCAACTGCTACCATAGTGCTTCATAAAGAAAGCAACAGAATACCAATCAAGAAGGGTGTAAGGCAGGGGGACACAATTTCCCCAATGCTATTTACCGCGTGCTTACAGGAGGTTTTCAGAAGCCTAGAATGGGAACAGTTAGGGATAAGAGTCAATGGAGAATACCTTAGTAACCTGCGCTTCGCCGATGACATTGCATTGCTGAGTAACTCGGGGGACGAATTGCAACTCATGATTACGGAGTTAGACAAGGAGAGCAGAAAGTTGGGTCTTAAAATTAATCTGCAGAAAACGAAAGTAATGTACAACAACCTCGGCAAGGAGCAGCGCTTCGAGATAGGTAATAGTGCACTTGAAGTTGTAAAAGACTATGTCTACTTAGGGCAGGTAATAACCGCAGAGCCGAACCACGAGATTGAAGTAACTAGAAGAATAAGAATGGGGTGGAGCACATTTGGCAAGCACTCTCAAATTATGACAGGTAGATTGCCACTATCCCTCAAGAGGAAGGTATATAACAGCTGTATCTTGCCGGTACTTAGCTACGGAGCAGAAACCTGGAGACTTACAAAGAGGGTTCAGCTTAAATTGAGGACGACGCAGCGAGCAATGGAAAGAAAAATGGTAGGTGTAACCTTAAGAGACAAGAAGAGAGCAGAGTGGATTAGGGAACAAACGGGGGTTAAGGATATCATAGCTGAAATCAAGAAGAAGAAATGGACGTGGGCAGGGCATGTAGCGCGTAGACAGGATAACCGCTGGTCATTAAGGGTAACTGACTGGATTCCCAGAGAAGGGAAGCGGGTTAGGGGGAGACGGAAGGTTAGGTGGGCAGATGAGATTAAGAAGTTTGCGGGTATAAATTGGCAGCAGCACGCACAGGACCGGGTTAACTGGCGGAACATGGGAGAGGCCTTTGTCCTGCAGTGGACGTAGTCAGGCTGATGATGATGATGATGATGAAATGCTCGAGACCCGTGTGCTCTCAGACATCCGTTCACGTTGAAGAACCCCAGGTGGTCGAAATTTCCGGAGTGCTATACTACATTGTTCCTCGCTGTATAATTTCGGGAAACTCCAACTGTTTTTTTTTTTCATCCTCCATACGCTCACAAAAGAAAAAAAGACTGGCCCCGTATCCTTATTTTATTCTGCAAAAGTCGTCGAAAGACGATAGTCTTGCGTGTGGAGAGAGTGAACGAAACATTTATTTGATGTTCTGCGCAAGAAAATCTGTGAAGGGTATTGTGGAGGCGCTGTGTTAGAGTGCCTCGAGCGTGCAGCGGACGCGAACAAACGCATATAGTCGCGTCACACGTGAAACATGAGCGCCATCTGGCAGTTTTTTTTTTTTTTTGAAAACCGAAGCGCATGGCTCTGAGAAGAGTGTGCGCGCCGGTCTCAGAGGTGATAATGTTTAGAATGCAAGGCAACGGGTAGGTGCCACCACCGTCTCGTCTTGCGTTGGAAACACTCGCTTTGGAAACACTTGCGTTGGAAACACTCGTTGGAAACAAATTGGATGGTCACTTGCAGAATGGCAAGCATATTGAAACGTGTCCCGTGCTTCTCCCGCACAAATGACGCACAAAACATACTCACAGGTACAGATTAACGTGAATAGGCGTCTCCGTTGTTACTTCGCTGTGTCTGAAAAACGCGCCCTTTTCGCCAACAGAGACGGTGCAATGATTGCAGTGACCTTCGTGCGCCCGATAACTACGACAGAATCAGTCCAGTGAAAGCGCAAGGCCAGCCAAGACTTACGATCCTCCCCACTGCGACGGAAGAGCGCGTGAGGGAGCGTCACCCTCCTTCTCTCCGCGGGGCAAAGTACGCGTGGGAAATGAGAGCGCACGCCACCACGTCGTGATGATGTGGCGACGCACGCTCATTGCGCCATCTTGCGCGCAATGGTGAAAACACGATAGTACTCGCCGAGATGCCCGTTTGGAACCGAAAGTGGTATATATAGATAGCGTGCCGTTTGAACGTTGAAGGAGGTGCTCCTCCGTGACTCAGTAGTTCGATTCAAAGGTGCCAAGTTCACTCACTTTTCAGAGGTCCCAAGTTCGCTTCCTGCGCCGGGGTCTTTTTCTGGATTAGCGTTCTTTTTTGAATTTACGTATATATAGATACGTATACATATACCGTGATACACGGCGATGCTAACACCGGCGGCAAAATCCATCCGACGAGAGTGTCCATATAATTGCTTTCACAATAAGACCTTACACACACACACACACACACACACACACACACACACATATATATATATATATATATATATATATATATATATATATATATATATATATATATATATATATATATATATATATATATATATATATATATATATATACGAAGTTGAAGAGAGATAGCCCGGTGCAGGCTACCCTTCACCGACACAAGGTGCATGGGACAGAACAAAGGCAGCCAATGCTCCTCGGGCTCGGCTGGCCATGGCCTTTTGGCTTGCCATGGCGATTGACACGCAGAAATCACGAGCTCAAACTTGAATTCCATGTAAACATTTATTTGTATCGAAAATACTGAGCAACTTAAATGCTGTAATCGAACTACGTGGTATTTTTTTGCGCTACCGAGTGGCACTCGATCAGTGTTTAACACGTTCCTCTGAAGACATAGCATTCCTCTTCCTAAGATGGGAACAAGTTGACGTACAACTTCTTATAATGGGAATAGAACTCGTTAGTTATATTTCGAAAATTAGAACGTGTGGTTGCATAACGTTACATTTGACTTTTTAATGAAATTACAGTGATGGATAATGCTGAAGCCAAATAAAGCGAGCATCTTAAAACTCGCATCTAGGTTTATATATATTGTCCACCTCGCTGTACCGGTACGTATACGGTGCTCGGCTGCTAAGCCGAAGGTGAAGGGTTCGATTTCGGGTGCGGCGGTCGCCTTTCGAAGGAGGCAAAATGGTAGACGCTGGCGTACTGTGTAATGTAAGGTAGACGTTAAAGAACACCATTCAGATAGTCTCAGTGTATGTTATTAATAACACGGAGCCTTCCACTACGGTGTTTCTCGTTATCATATCGTGGTTTTTGGACTTAAGCCCCTTGTGACTATTATATTTTTATTATTAGCTGTATATGTTATATAAAGTGGACATCTCCTGCAGCAGGTCGTTTGTAGATAAAGATACCATAAAAAATCATTGGTAGACCAATTTTTGAGACACCACCGGTTATACTATGAATATGTCTGTCGGCAACATTCATGCTCGTCTAACACAAGTCTATGCGGTTTATTTCACGTCTATCTTCAAATGTGCCGTCAGGATTCTGCACTTAAGATATTCAAATAGAAAGATCTTCACACGCACCAATATAATTAAATTTCTTGCGTAGGAAAACACATAGAAAGGAACAATACCCTAATGTTTAATGAGTGCTGATTCACCATCATTAGAGCAGCAGTATGAGTGGAGAATAATGTCCAGCATGCGAATTGGCAACGCTTGAAAGTCTCCTGTTCCCAATCAGCGAACATATTTCTGTATATTTTTTAGTCTTGCTATCTTTTTTTATTCATGTTTTCTTTCTCTTTATTTTACGCTTTCTCTTTCTTTCTCTGTCGACATTCTCTCGCCTTCTGTCTGTTAATCTCCTAATATTTCTCTGTTGCTTTTTATCTCATTCTCTTTCTCTCTGTTTCTCTAGACTAATTCCCCCTTCTCCTCACCCGCACATACTTTTCCCACCTATATGAACCCCTACGCAAGATTATGCATACTGTGATAGATATTGCACGCGCAGAGAAAAGCAGGGCTAATAATTTCCTTAGTAACCAATTTTATAAGTATGCTACTCAGTTAAGAGATGTATAGGCGGTTTCAAGGTCACAAGAGTTGTACCCCGAAAAAACTTTCGGTAACCTCATTTACCAGATCCTATTATTGTAGCTGAAAGGACGTTTTCGAATTCTTCTGAAGACTAAGAAATGTCTCTTTTTCGCTTTTTCACATAAAAGGAACGTGCGTAAAGTACAAGAAAATCTTTCACAATTTTATGTAGCTCAAAAGAACATTTATTTTGAAAATATTTTGCCAAATGGGAGAAAGTTTCTGTAGAAAATCAGTGGACTATTTTCTAAATCTCTTGTTGTCTACCGGTGC